TATGAGTTATTTGGAAAGATTTCCCACAGCTCGCCGGGTGACATCCAAGTTCAGCGCTCCGAAAACTTGCAAAAGTTCACCGTACATGGTTGTTGTGCTGTTCTGTTGATTTACAGAATATGTGAAAATGGTTACCGCGCGGTAAAGCGCGTTGTGCCTAAACGGTGTACATACGCCTTCCTACAGCGTCTAGTCCGTAACTTCAGCCGTACTATGGTTTTGAAATGACTGCTGCTTTTTTGGAATTCGACAAGAACATCAGGATATACTAAGTCACAGATTTTACACGACAGCATAAGTTTGCACAGAAATAGAGTAGGAAACTAGCCCTGGACAATCCACTATTTACACGTCTACGACAGACCGTCAGAGTTTACTGCCTGTACCTGGTGCGCCAAGTGACAGCCCACATTAAGAGACATTGGGACTGCCTGTACCTGGTGGGCCAAGTGACAGTCCACATTAAGAGACATTGGGACTGCCTGTACCTGGTGCGCCAAGTGACAGTCCACATTAAGAGACATTTGGACTGCCTTCACCTGATGCGCCAAGGGACGGCCCATATTAAGAGATATTAGGACCGCCTTTACCTGATGCGTCAAGTGACGGTCTCTCTTAAGAGACTTTGGACCTGCCTTTTACCTGATGCGCCAAGTGGACGGTCCATATTAAGAGACATTGGGACTGCCTGTACCATGATGCGCCAAGTGACGGTCCATATTAAGAGACATTGGGACCTATGCGCCAAGTGATGGTCCATATTAAGATACATTGGGACTGCCTTTACCTGATGCGTCAAGCGACGGTCCACATAAGAGACATTGGGACTGCCTGTACATGATGCGCCAAGTGACGGTCCATATTAAGAGATATTGGGACAATGCGCCAAGTGATGGCCCATATTAAGAGACATTGGGACTGCCTGTCATGATGCGCCAAAGTGACGGTCAATATTAAGAGACATTGGGACTATGCGCCAAGTGACGGTCCCTATTAGGAGACATTGGGACTATGCGCCAAGTGACGGTCCATATCAAGAGACATTGAGACTATGCGCCAAGTGACGGTCCATATTAAGAGACATTGGGACTGCCTGTACCTGATGCGCCAAGTGACGGTCCATATTAAGGGACATTGGGACTATGCGCCAAGTGATGGTCCATATTAAGAGACATTGGGACTACCTTTACCTGATGAGCCAAGTGATGGTCTATATTAAGAGACATTGGGACTATCTTTACCTGGTGCGCCAAGTGACGGTCTAGCAAACGGAGGGACATCACCGGGCGTAGCTAGAAGGACCTCAGGAAATGAGGTCAGAGAAAATATGGTTGGCTTATGCTTTCATATAAATCGTCCTCGCATTACTAAGACAAAGCCCATACAATTCCTTTCCCAGGGGATATTTGAATACAAACGCAAGCTAATCAAGCCAGAGGACAGCTCCTGAGACAAAGAAAGTCATCGCGATAGAAGTCAACGCATCTCGAGGGTGATATGTCCGCGTATGCTTAATTGTTGTTCATTTTGTATGCATTTGCACACAGCGATTCAGAGAACATCTGGAACACCAATAGAGCATAGCTCAAAGATTGTGAAAACGTCACAAGCAGATCAGGGTGGGTTTATGTAACAAGCCTTTGCATGCATCATAATGTTCCTTCGGTGCTAAAACAAGGCTGAAATTACATCAGAAGTTGCAAACCCAAGGCAGGAGAGCATACACCGGCTGGTGATCTCATAAACGCGTTCTTTCCAAAACAGTTGGAGAATAGCGTGCACGTTGCGAAAACAACACTTAATTTTGGTCTGCCCGTCAGCACCGGCCGACGGAAGTTCGGCCACACATCATAGTGCGTGCGAGATGAACCGGCCTGAGCCAGCGCCCGCCGACCGACGGAAGTTCAGCCACACATCATAGCGCGTGCGAGATGAACCAGCCTGAGCCAGCGCCCGTCAGCCACACTCCAGTCTCTGAACGTTCTTCACTGAATCACGTAATACCGGCAAACCAAGGGCGGAGTCTTTTCAACTCCCGGCCAGCTCTGGTCTCCGCTCTCGAAATATTCGTCAGGACACTGGTCTAGCCCGCTCGCGCGTGAGGGCAATCGGCGCGAGGATGCGGGAACCGGGGGCACTGGGAGCAGCTTGCCCCATTCACAATTTAAGTGCTCAAGGGGGGATCCCCCTCTTTCCCAACTTGGAGGGCCTGCTGGACCCATTCTGGTATGTTAAGGGCCCAATTTGATTTGTAAACGTGCAAAAGTTCATTTTGACCTGTCGGGGCTCATTCGGGTTTAATTGGGCTCCATCCTGACCAAAAGAGGGCAATTCTGAGCCTCCAAAGGGCCTTTTCTGACCTGAAGCTAGCCTTTTCCGACCTGTAGAAGGCCCAGTATTGACTTTGATTATTGACTGCCCATCTGGTTTTTAGAATATTGACTGCCCATCCTGGTTTTTAGAGGTCCCATTATCAGTGGCGGATCCAGAGGGGAGGAAAGACCATGCCCTCTCCCCTTGGACGCAGAATGGGCCCCATAGCCGGCCGAACAGACGCAGTTTTTAAATTCAAACGTAAAAGAAACTGGGACGTCTTGAGCTTCCGGGGAACCAAGAATAATCGCGAGCGAAAGTGAAGGGCCCACGACCAGACAGGATAATTCCCCGTTGATTGAGAAAGTGGTAATTGGGGAGATTTTAAGGATAATTAGGCTGTCCGCAGTCCCTAGACTGCTGCCGGAGGACCTACATATCCAGTTGCAGGGTCAGTCTAATAGCCGATGAGTTTTTCACGATGCCCTTGATTAATTTGCATTTGTTCGGAGAGTCCTACGCTGTTGTCGGGGCCCTGTCTGCTAGCATGGCGTGACACTCTTGTCGATGAGGGGAGTCTTCCCATTCACCCGAAAGGCCCTCTACTTTATAGCCGGGAGCCCATGTGTCAGCATGCCGGGATATTCTCGGTTGCTCAGGGCCCTTCACATTGACCTCGGGTTCCTTCGACTTGCTTGGAGAGACCTGCGCTGTCGCTGAAGTGAATATAAGTTAACTCAGCAAGGCACTGCTCCGCTCACTGCTCGGGGGCCTCTACACTGATCTAGGACACTTCCCTTGACGTAATTTGCGGAGGACCCTTCATTGTTATTGAAGCTCTTTCTGTTGACTTGCCCGGACACAACTTCTTATATCATGTAGCACAAAACGCGATTCGTGATTGAAACTTGCACAGAATGTTCAATATTGACGGAGAGCCAATTGACGTCGTCAATATTTGGCAATCATGCTCACGGACGCTAGTTCTGAACGGCTCGACGATAACATGGTCCTGACGCGCTCCGTGCCGCCCGGAGCCGCGGCGGCTGCAGCCCAGCGAGCCAGCACCGGCTGGCTGGAGCGGTGGCTGCTGCTGGCGGCTGGCCCCTGCCGGCTGGGAACTTCCCGTCACATCGCCCAGCGGACCACCGAAGCGCTGTGGCTGCCACGAGACCCTGTCAGTGATGCGTTTGGGGGCTGAAAGATTGCAACGCTGTCGGTGTTGCGTCGCCTTTCATCCCTATCGCCATAAACCTACGCACATATCCTGCAGAACCGCGTTGGTTTTTGTCGTTTCAGAAATGCATAGATCATACTCTACTGCCACTCATTGGTCCACTCATTGCTTCATGATCACAATGCCGTGATGCTCGTACCATTGACCTATTGCCGGTTTCGCTTATCTCCGGCTGCCTCACTCCCCGGCCGCCCCGTCAAGCCCACGTCTCTTAGCTCTTTATCCTAAACTTCGCTCTTGGTAGAAGTAGAAATGACAATGCTTACACTCAAACGCGGACCACCGGCTGACTGCGGTAGTGACGATGATGTATGTGCATACATACAGATCCATCACGTGTCAGGTGTGTGACTACATCATCCACAGAGCGGGTGCGGGGCGACGGTCCCTCGCGTTCAGCACTTCGACTTCGCACAGAACCTGGGCTTTGAAGATAACGTGAGTCAAATGGGGGAATCAGGCTTGAATGAAGTAGAGCTAGACCTCACTGCAGTGAATAGAAGAAACTGCGTCAGTAAAAGCACAGTCCACTGCGCGGCAATGTGGGGTCTGTCGAATCGGATCTGTCAGGTGAAACAAGAAGCAGCGTGATGATTTCTAGGCAACGTCGCAAAGTTTATTTTTTGTTTTGGATCGTACTAATGATTGACGCAACGATTCTGCGCTAAACAATATCGTACTGTTCCACGTGCAGATGCGTAAATGCCGCGGTACCACTTACATATAAACGACAAACCGTGACCTGAATTCAGATGTTGAGTATCAACAGATCATATCTTATTGTTCAATGGAAGAAAAGACAACATAGTTTAACAACAGCGACGAATGCCAGCACATTCCAACACAGTGAACGTGAAATAGATAAAAACTCAGCACACTCCAACACAGTGAACGTGAAATAGATAAAAACAGACTTGGCATTTACGTGTCTGCCCGTAAGTCCCACACGTCTAAGTGGAAACGCGCAGGTCGAGTGCGTAAAAGACCAACATTCGCCATTAGTACGAGTACGTGTCTGCGAAGTGGAACGAGGCCGTCAGGTGAGCCCACCCGACGCCACCCCGCTCGCCGAGGCACCCGGCGAGAGACTGCCCACCCGACGCCACCCCGCTCGCACAGCCGGCGAGAGACTGCCCACCCGACGCCACCCCGCTCGCACAGCCGGCGAGAGACTGACACTGGACTCGCCATCGCTCGGGCAGCGAGCCGACCCGGGTCACAGCCTAGCGAGCACAACTGGATGCGGCCGCCAGACCGGGACAAAGAGCGGCACGCAGCGGGGCCAGCGTGCCGGGAGCCCAGCCGCAGACACGGCGTGGACCACGTGGTGCGCCGGGGGTCCCAGGCTCACCGGCCCGCGCGCGCAGCTGGGGAGCGGCTCACCGGGCCGCACACGCAGCTGGGGAGCGGCCCACCGGGCCGCTCCCCAGCTGGGGAGCGGCTCACCGGGCCGTACATGCAGCTGGGGTGCGGCTCACCGGGCCGCACGAGCAGCTGGGGAGCGGCTCACCGGGCCGCACACGCAGCTGGGGTGCGGCTCACCGGGCCGCACACGCAGCTGGGGTGCGGCTCACCGGGCCGCACGCGCAGATGGGAAGCGGCTCACCAGGCCGCACACGTAGCTGGAGGGACTTGGGCTTGCTCGTCCGCTGGCACAGCTGGACTGGAGGAGCTCTGCCTCACTGGGCTGCATGCGCGGTTGGAGGAGCCCTGGCTCGCTGAGGCGCAAGCAGAGCGTAGCTGGAGGGGCGCTGTTCACTGGGCCGTGCGCGCAGATGGAGGAGCCCCGGCTGGCTGGGTCGAAAGCGCAGCTGGAGGAGTATTCGTTCACTTGTCCACATGTATCACCGGGCCTGTGCGCAACTGGGAGCAACCGGAACGCGGCGGTTGGCTCGGTGCGGGGGACAGCCGGGGCCGCTGGATGTCTGTCCAAATGGACCCGCTCACATGTCACGAGCCACTCCCGAAAAAAGGTCCTCCTCGGTGCGCGAGCGGGGCACTGCTGGAGTGCCGGTCACCACAGTGTCCCGACCGGCTGTGTTAGGGCGTTTCGCCGAAGCTGAGTGCTTGGACTATTCGCGGGTCTGTCTTGCTGCCCTCCTTGAACTCCTCGAAGGTGAGCTGATTGTCGCCGTTCTGGTCCATCAGCTCGTATATCTTGTCGACACGACTCTTGGCACTGTTCTCATCGTCGTCACTCACCTGCTGCCCCTGAGAACGGTGTTATAGCGTTACCCTTCAAATTACCGCCGCACACTCGAGCGCTTTGCACGGCCTTAGGCTAGCGTGGACTATTGGTCCTAGTTTGAAGTTCATGCTAATCCCATCAGCGCTAGAGACCCCAACTCATCCAGCAGGGGGAAGGATTTTCCATCTAACTGGTACTTCCTGGTATATTCAATGAAGGATCGATAACTCAGCATAAAAGCTCTGAGCTTAAAATGATAAACGTTCAGTGCAATAAAAAGGCTGTGTACGTCATCATTAGCACACGATAGAGGGGTTTGCAAGAGCACGCAGAAGACTAAAGAACGACAAAACGGGGTGTTATTAGGACATCAGAAGCTGTGACAACACGGCAACAAAGCTAGCATGACGACATAGAGTACCGGGCGTCGCTGTTGGACAAATCATGGAAGGTTAGCCGGCGGATAGCTAAATTCTAGCTGGCATACTTACATTGATACGGGGAGCGATAACAAAGGGAATAATCGTTCGAAGTGGAGATATCCCAGCAACATGTCAAGGTAATGCAAGTAGACACTTCTTCGGCATGGTTTGCCCCTTACCGCTGAGAGACTTTTGCTATTCGCTGTCAGCGGTCATACTTACAACCATTTCGTAGATGGCTCCGACAATGTTATACATCTCTTCTCTTGTGATATATCCATCGTTGTCCACGTCGTACAGTTTAAATGCCCCTGCAAAACAAATCAGTGTCATTTCACAACAGAATGGTCAAGTACCAGACAGGTAGCGCGAGTAGGGGGCACAACAGGCACGTGCCCCCTCCTTAAGTTTCGAAAGGCCCCTCGGGCCCCTCGGAACCTACGATGGGTGTGGGGAGGGGGGGGGGGGAGCGGTCGGAACGGTAGCTTGTCAGCGATCTTGCGCGAGATCAGCCTGCAGCTAGCCGCTTCTCTACTTGCCCTGCTTGTAAACATTTTTCCGAAGCATCTCCAAGTTCGTGCTTTCAACATCACGTGACAATATTGACACATGCCGTGGTGATGCATCCAGTCTCTCAACGTTTATTGCCACTTCCTGGTGGTACTAAAATGCTAAGACGGCCAAATGCCGATAATCCTGCCTGCATTTCATTATTCTTGGTAAACCACTTATTATACTTAAACCTAAAGACGATAAAATAATAATACGATAAAAAATAAATACGAAAAAACAAAATAAAAACCTAAAACTAAATATGGAATGATGTCTAGAGGTTGTCAATCCGAGAAAGTTTCAATCGGTTTGGATATTTCACAAGTGATGTCCAGACCCCGGGTTCTGGCCATAGGATGTTGTAAGAGTGACGCTTGCTGGCCGACATTCAACAGTTTCTCTCGTCGGTCACCATACTGGCGGGCACATTTTTGCACGGGTCAATCACATTGAGGTGCCGGACATTCATTGCTATCGCCACGTTACGTAGTCTGCTTGCGAAAATCTCAATATCGGCGTCTATGCGACCACACAGCTTGCGGCAAGCGACTCCTTTCCTGATCGCTATCGCTCAGATGTCGCGAGGCCGTTTCTTCCTGGCGAGATCCCTCTGGGAGCAGCTGAAGCAATTGCGTAGTGTCGACACCAGCATCACCTTCATGCGCATCCCCAGTCACTTTGGGATAGAGGAAATGAGTCGGCGGATGCTGCAGCGAAGAGACCGCGTGTGGGAAGAGACCAATGGCCAGTAATGTGCCGGCTCGAGACGCCAGCTCGGAACTCTTGAGTTACACTCGTGGCGCATGGCGGGCATCGTTTGGTCAGCACATTGACTCCTCCAGGAAATCAAGCTGCAAATGGGAAACTGGGAGTCCGTCTGCCGCAGCAGTCCCTTGCAGAAATTTGTAATTTGTAGGCTTCGTTTAGGCGGTATATGTGCTACGCACCCATTTCGCTTGACAGGCCAGGGCATGCCGCAGTGCGACACGTGGGGAACGGCTGTGTATCGGACAGGTCCTGGTCTCTTACCATCTCTGTGAAACGGATAGACGGCTCTATCTCTCGCCAGTGCCCCTACGTCGACTATAAGGGCAGGACTCATATTGCTACGTCACGGGTATCTTCGCCTTTTTAACACACCTCGACTTCGCCGTTGCCTACGCCAGACCAACAGCACAGGGGCGCCGGTTAATGTGTGTGTCAATGCTTGACCTACATGCTTTTAAGGTGAAAATGCAGACGTGGCGTGTCGTTCCCAAGAGGACGCAAAAGGGCGCCGTCGTCGACGTGCCGCTGAACACAAAACACCGTCACCACCACACCTCTCAGGATCGTGATGTCAGGTGTTTTCCCTGATCGCTTTTACACGTCTCTTAGCGGCGTTTCTCACAACTTTGTAGCGTTTGCAAGGCCCTCTGCTCCCATAAGCCCACAGCTGTCACCCGTATGTAGATTGGTTTCTGCAGCACAAAGAAACGCCTACACTTAACCTGGAGTTCCAAACGGCAGATCCATACGTGAAGCCTGTCCAAACAGCAGGTCCACAGAAAGCCGGATCTTGCGATCCGTTATTGTTTTGGTTGGGAAGACAGGCCTGCTCTGTGGGCGTCCTTGCATGCCCTCTGCAGCAGCGGCAGCTCGGTACCCCAATCGTCCCGTTTGTCAACGCAGGGCCTTGCAAGCTCTTGACCCAAGGTCCAACAGAACATTTAGACCACCCGTCAGGCTGAAAATGGAGAGGAGTGGCGCGTGGCTCAGAGACCCCGTGAGTTTGCAACAGACGACAAAAAAACGTGAATTCGAAGTTTTGTCCTTAGTTCGAACAAAGTTCGCCGGATGTTCCGAGGTGAGAGGGAACGTCATGAGACACAGCTCTGACATCTCTGGCAATATTTTGAGTTGTGATCACGTGAATTCTTAGCTACTCGCGAAAAGATCCGTGGTTTCACAGACGCATTTATTACCAGACCTTGTCACGGGGAGTCGTCCGGAGGTCATCCTGCTACGAGCTCAAAATTCTTATGCCGAGTTAGGGGTCTTGAATGTAGCAGAAGGCGCTGGTTAAATGACGTTCATAGGGCAAACGTATCATACCATATTGGCGGCATTCAGGTTATACTGACGGCATTCGACGTGTCAGCTGCGCAATGATCACGATTCGATTTGTCAAGCTGCGCTATGATCACGAATCGTGATCATCACAACTTGACACGTCGAGTACTGCCAATATCAGTGATGTTTGTTCTATAACGTCGCTTCTATCACCTCCAATATTGCGGAAACTCCGAACTCTGATTTGAAACCGACACAATCAGAGCCTGAACTGATTGTACGTGCAATCAGAGCCTGAACTCTACTGAAGAGAACTCTGAGCTACCAATTTAAAAAATAGCAGTTGAATACCATTCTTGATCGTATCAAGTGATTCAGTTCTGTTCACCAGAACAACCTCGGCGGGGTACATCTGGGGCATAGATGAAGCGGCGCATCTTACCTGGTCGGTGTACCTCTCTTCCAGCAACACCTTACGCACGGCGTCTCCTCACGGATTTCTTCTCCCCAAGTTTGTCAATGGTCCTACTACTTTCTTTCAATGGTTCAAAACGTCTTGAAGGCTGTCGTCTTCGTATCATGCGACAAGGATTGGCTAATCCTGACAAGACATGAACAGACTCGCATATGCCCATCATCGCACCGGCAGTTATCTTCAAGTTGTTCTTTCAGAGAAAACCACCGGGTCTGGACATGTTGCATGACCTTTCTCCACATTAGCCTTTCCAGAGATCGCACCTGAGCTTTACTGGTCATGAACCGTTGGCATGGTGAAGTAACTGGGACACCCAAACCCTCTAGGTTCGGTTCAGAGATCTACGACTGCCTCGCTCCGTGCAGGGATCCAGATTGTCTTGCTGTTTCTATGCAGTGACCCAGATCCCTTCAAAAAGCTTTCCTGCTTCAGTGGGGCCTGACGCTGCTGGACCATTGCCAGCTCCGGCCTTCTCACGCCAAGAAGGCATTTCTAATGCGGTAACAGCAGTCCCCCTGAGCAAGTTCTCTTCGACATTTCCGTAGAACATGACCACCAAACCAGTGCTGGGGTACGTCGATGACTACACCACGATACTTTTGTCAATGACGTAATGTGGAACACCAACGGCCCAGGCATACCGACGATATCGAATGCGCCTTAGCTATAGTTAAATTCAATGCGTGCGCTTTTGCGTTCCTTTTAGTGCGCGGAGATGTGATGGGCGCGATAAAAAAGCGTGTTGCTGTCCTCAGTTTTGTTAGCTTGTGGCCTCTTTTGCAGATCATTTACACTAAAGCCGACTGTAAAGAATCTGTGTCATGCGGCTTACGTACGGCTACTTACATTCAAGCTTCTCATCCATGTTCCCCCGTGACGTCACACTGAGGGCTTTGATAAATTCCTGGAATTCTATCGATCCGTCCTGAAACAACAGAGAGACATTTTAGTTTGGAAAAGCTCTCAAAAAACAGGGAAGCGAAAACATCATTATATACTTCAAAACCATCACACATACACACGCCACACCATGGGCGACAGAATGAGGACGGGAACGGGGCCATCGCACCCTCTTGGAATTTGAGAGACAATGTTACTACATTAATGAGTTTTCTCCAAATTGCAGAGAGATAAAGAGTGAAAGCGGAAATATGTTACCGAGCGGTCTCCAACAAACTTTTCTCCCCGCATGTAACATGTACGTGTGCGCACCCGCCTACCTGTACTGTATGGACCTGACTGATTCACTTTGCACCTATAGCACTTTGGCTGACAATGAGCACGAGCTGTAAGTCACTAACGATATTGTTTAAGCTAACTGATGGCGATCAACATGAGGCGGGCCAGGGGCTCCACCTCGCGTATTTTACCTCACATACCAGGGGTTCTACATCACATACCTTACAGTCACATAGTACCTGACATACCTCACATAGTCACACAGGTCATTGTTTTTAAGGGAGGAAATTCAGGAGCCCCAAAGACTGTTAGGAAAGCTCCTGCACGCTTTCGGAATATACGAACAGTCGGCTCAAAGAGAGCCCAATAAAAAACAGGGTGTTTTGGCCATGTGTGCTTTGGGCACATAAGTGCGCACAAATGACGTTTTGAAAAAAAATATAAGCACGCAAATCAACGAATGTACTGATCACATGGACTAAGCCTTGTTGTAGAATTTTTGCGACACCACAATTTATTTAATGCAATAATCCGTCCGGTCTCAATTGTTCACTTAGTAACTGAGCTCCATTGCTCAGTTGTAAGAGCGCCTGTGTTTCTAGTCATCCACCTATGCCTAGGTGGGTTTGATCCGCTTTAGGTGTTAGCTGTTCGCGCTTAGCTGGGATAGCCTGCAACCGGCGGCATTAGTCGCGTAAAGGTCACGTGACTAGAGAGCACGTGTCGGGCTTTGCGACACGTTGAAATTTCGTTCCGTTTAACACGTTAAACCTCTGTGATCTGGATTTTCGCCATCGCATAGTGGGGTCAGAGGTCACACAACAAACATTGCCTAGCGTGGGCGCTTGTTCAAAAAATCAAAAACGTTCGGGCTAAAATGAGAAATTGTGCTAATCAATGATACAATACTGAATATAGCATGCTGCTGACAACTTTTTCGGACCTTTCACATCATATAACAGCATCGTTCTTCCACTGTTGACGTGTTGTCGGTAATACCTTAAGGACAAATGACTAGTGCGCGACCACTCGGATTGGTAACACGACATAGGTCCATAAAAGGATGAATAGTGTATAGGTTACGACCTTGTTTTGATGCCAGAATAGACATAGATGTGGAGTAAGATAAATGTTGGATCTGCTAGCGTTGCTCCATGTAGGCATATGCTTGACTCCGGGTGAAGGTGGAGTCACTATCACCATTAAGTGAATTGTATTGAGGCATGATATACTACATTCCTTGCCGTTTCCTGTGAGACGGAATCGGGGTGCAGTCACAACAATCATCCGTGAGTCGACTGAGCAATGAATATAAGCATTTGGATATATTCAGAGTTTGATAGTTCATACGCGCACCAAACGGGCTACCACAATATCTAACGGTATTAATTTAACAATAGATGTCTATCAAGCTTTATCATTTCATATCATATATCATATTATATATATATATATACCATATTTATCAAGCTTTTATCAAGCTTTTAGCAATACCATAACCTGCATTTCTAGTCAAACGTCTGCTACCGAAATAAACTTCATCGGAATCAAATCTGGAATTTCGCCTTTCTACTTGAACCCGAACCGGAATGGACTCAAGTTTGCGTTGAGCTGTTCCGAGTCGGACTAGGGATCCACGCTCTGTGAGTCTGAGTCGGGGTCAACACCGTGCGGCTGGAGACAGGGGCGAAGCGGATTCCGTTGAAGCAGATGCATGTCCATTTGCCGAGGATGCATGCTTTTGAAACACCGGTACAGTACGGGTGGTCCTATTGTCTACCCACCGACATAAACAACACCAAAATTCGTCTGACGTCGGAGGTAGTCTAAAGCCTTTGTCAAACGATTAAAACTATTCGGCCGAAGCTTGCCCAAGCAATACGTCACGATCTCTCGAACATGTAACACATGCAATGTTTGCCTGCATATGAACTAGCATGGCTATCTAAAAACGACAAACCCCAAGACCCATGTGCAATGCATTCTCACGACAGTTTAGCAAAAGACATCAGAGCCACGAAGTTCGCTGAAGTGGAACCCAAGCAGCTTTCGGGCAGACTGGGTAGGTTGGACGTTTGCAATACTGAACGTGTGGTAATGCCCTGCATGCAAAGCAATGTTGAAAACAAAGTTCGCTGTATTTGTCGCTCCGTGGGTTGTCCAGTGCATTAGCGATGAACATTATTCACATAGATAAGTCGTTCAGGGTTTGTAAATGATAAGTTTGTACATTCCATCACTACGGCATTCTATGTAACTGGAAGGGACTTAAAATTGTTCAAAAATGCCGTCCGTGTTTGGCATCGGGGCAACAATAATACGATTGCTGGAAGTTACCCCTAATCTAAAATTGTGTCCCTGCTTCAATCGCAGTCAGCTGCAGGTCTGATTTATTTAGCTCTCTATATTCACATTATTGTATAATACTGTTTAATAACTATAGTTATATATCCTTATCATTTACATCACATCAATCATTGCGAAGCATTATTAAATCGGCGGACTGGTCGTACCCCCCCCCCCCCCCACCGCAGGATATCAGGCAGGTGCGGAGGAGCTGTCGTCACTGTCCACCACCGACGCGTCCGTGTCGATCAATAGCTGTGGATTGTTTTTCATACGACGTCGTGTTCCGCTACCCGTCATCCAGCAAACACAGGAGCGTGGCCACGCGGCAAGGAATGTGTGACCCAGCAAACACAGGAGCGTACCCACGCGGCAAGGAATGTGTGACCCAGCAAACACAGGAGCGTACCCACGCGGCAAGGAATGTGTGACCCAGCAAACACAGGAGCGTACCCACGCGGCAAGGAATGTGTGACCCAGCGATGTGTAAAAGGCGAGCGATATCCATGATTTGCGTATAACCAACATCATACGACCACGACAAGTGCGTGCGCCATGAGCACAGCGATTTCCCACATCGTTACCACAGCAACGTGATAATTATACCCGTAGCGAACCACATAGCAGTGTTCGATACGCAGTGGTGGTACATCGGACGACCAGCCGGCCTCTGCAGCCGAGTGCGGAGGGCAGAGTGCAGTCTGGGCGAGGGGCGACTGCCGGGTCGAGGCCGGGTGACGCGGACTTGTCTCACCTTGCGGAGGCGTGCCTGCGGCCCGTGCCAGCTCTTGGCGGGTCGAGGTCGGGTGACGCGGACCGTCTCACCGTGCGGAGGCGTGCCTGCGGCCCGTGCCAGCTCCTGGCGGGTCGAGCCCGGGTGACGCGGACCCGTCTCACCGTGCGGAGGCGAGCCTGCGGCCCGTGCCAGCTCCTGGCGGGTCGAGGCCGGGTGACGCGGACCTGTCCCACCGTGTGGGGGGCGTGCCTGCGGCCCGTGCCAGCTCCTGGCGGGTCGAGGCCGGGTGACGCGGACCCGTCTCACCGTGCGGAGGCGTGCCTGCGGCCCGTGCCAGCTCCTGGCGGGTCGAGGCCGGGTGACGCGTACCGTCTCACCGTGCGGAGGCGTGCTTGCGGCCTGTGCCAGCTTCAGTCCGCTCTAGATGTCGGCTGGGCGCGGTTCCCAGCAGCGCACAGTGGGACAGAACTGTTCAAACGTGAGCTCAAACCGCTCTAGTTCGAACGTGGTGATGTGCTCCAAGTACAACCAATTCAAAGGATGTGCGCACAAAGTCGGGATTTGCCATCGGGGCGTTTGAAATATGTTCTGTATCTTATACTTTTGTGTAAAGGAGTGGGTTCATGCACGAATAGGATGCGCTTGCGCTGAACCCACATGCTGCTGCGTTCACGCTCGCGCTGTGTTGTCAGGTTCACCGACAACCTAAAACAGCCGACCGGATCATGGGCCTCCTCCAGCCCACCATCGCGGGCTTACGGCACGACTGACAGCTCCCGCGAGCACGTAGGCATGCACGTAAGATCCGCAGGACTGTACGGGTCGGTGGGCACCAGGCGGCCCTATTCATCAGCTGATGATCCATTCTTGTCCGCTGGCGATCCCGCCCCGCACCCCGCGTAATTAGGCCGGAGTGAGTGATGACGTAAGACGCCCGCCCAAGTCGCCATCAGGGAGCGCTGCATGGCTGGCCAAGCCGGACAGGATCGCTCCGCTCACCTTGTTGACGTCGAACACGCGGAACACGAGGGAGGCGAACTTTGTGGGGTCGCCGTGCGGGAAGAACTGTTTATAGATCTTGATGAAGCCCTGCGGTGGAGAACGAAACTGTCAGGAACCTTTAACGCGTCCAACGTTGGCTGTGGTTCGGGCCGACTCTGTCCGCTTTGTACTGTGAGTGATCAGGGATCCTTTCCACGTCTGTAGCACGCCGCTCGGACATAGCTTCGAGGGTCGCTCCAGTAGACCTGTCACGTTCCGGCTCACTGTTCCCGGGTACATCATCAGCCACAGAGTCATTAGCACAAATTTGCATCCGCTTATTGGCAGTCAGGCATGCGCCGGAACAGCGAGTCGCTTTGGGTGTGGACAAATGTCGACCCGTGACTGTTGCCAAGCGCCGGCGTGACGCTGCGCCACGGTGACACCGTGCCTGCCAGCTGCAGTCGTCTGCCGGCTGGCGGCCTACAGCGTTCACGTGTTCGGTTGCGAGGCCAGCCAGCTCGAGTGCGAGCTGGGCGACAAGCAGTACCGTCGGTGGGACGACTCGAGTTCCAGTGCTATTCCAACAGCTGTACAGTACGGCAATGGGACGCCCGCCGACATTCAAAGCGGGGAAACCATTTCAGTGTTACGGATCTAATAGTACCGTGAAAAGTCATGACTACTCTACCAGTTCATGATGCATCCACATGTGCAGAAATACGCGTATTCATCTTAGTAGACAGTGAAGAAGCAATGCAACTATCTTATGCGCTTCGCAAACGTAGATGCGCCCTTGATCATACAAGTTCACTGTCCCTTTTCTGAACCATGTCGAGACAAATTAAAGAAACTATTGTTCACAGCACTGGTCGGTGACCACTCACCTGTTCGTCTAGCTCGCCATTGGGATAGTCCTTGATGAAGCCTTTGTGCCTGCAAAGAGGTCAGCTCCATCACTGTATTATATTTCCAGACAATGTGACATATTCCACTGGTGCTCCTTGCTCCTCGTTAGCCGGGCCATGGAATGAGACCATCAGACTGCGCGGTACGTGTAGCACACATGCTTTTTAAGATTCACCTGAAAGAGAAACCCAGAGAAGACGAAAATAAAACGAGTGCGGAAACTGCAGAACAAACGCATGATGCTTTTTGCGCAAAAACGCGGTTTATTACCGATCCTAAGCATGCTTATATCGACTTCGGTACTGACTGAGTGCAAAAAATGTCATACCTATATGTCTCATGACGGAAAAGCATCGTGAAAATGCAAATGTACATCAATTGCACATCATCAATATACATCAATTACATCATGCGAATTTACAAACCCGTGAAGAACAAAATAAAAGCATTTGTCATGCAAGTCCGAGTACAAGTCAGTTTCATATCTAAGTTTCAGGCCTGCTCCAGATGACCACCCAAACGCCTCTGGCACAGAGCGGCCCCGCTCCAGCCAATGAAGCACCATGCTGGACATGATGGGCGTGCCTCCGCCTCTCTGAAGCCGCATGGCGTTCTGGGGAGGGGGGGGGGAGGGGGCTAGGCGGTGTCTGCAGACGCTGCTCCAGAAGCGATTGAGTAGCTTGACGTAACGCGGCTTGTTGGTTGTAACGGCGGAGCTGCGGCCTTTTCTGAATCAAGAGGGGCTGATGATCCCGCCCTGCGGCAATTTCTGAATCAAAGGGGGCCGATGATCCCGTCCGAGCTGATAGCGCACGCGGCAGCAGCATTTTCAGGGTACACTAGCTAATTCACCATTTCGTCTGGGGTGGTGTCGATCCGGGTCCCGAATTTAGGATGCCAAGCTAGCATGAAATTCCATGCTCCATGCATGAAATCGGACCTCCATTCAGCATGAAGTTAGCTCCGTCACTGAGCCAAATGTTGTTGACAAAACTGGATTCAGCGGTGCACTCGCAACAGAACCTAACTCGTAAAAATAAATCTTTCGTTGCTGCAACCCTCAGGCTCAGTGTTTGGTGCAACCATAATTCGCACGACAGTCATCCAATTCTCTTTTTTAATTTTTATCGTACCATGCTATGATTCTCCTCATTGACTTCGTGGGGTTTCGAGGAAGATGTTTGCAACCTTTACAATGTCTTCTGCAAAGGGTTTTCCACGTTTTGGTCCACTGCGTTCTCGACTGAAGCCCTCAACTCTGCCGCCAGTCTAAAGAAGCGGGCGGTGAAGTGTGTTGAAGTGCCGTTATTGACCTCGTTTTACAGTGGAATGGGACGACTTCGGGTAATTCTTCTCCGTTCAGTGGGTGTATTTCAAGGTATGCACACCACAGTATCATGCGATTCTCTATTGCACCTGCATTCTAAGGATGCCATTCACTCTATGTTAATTGATTTGAGACTCAACGGCACCCAAATAAACTCAGGAATCGTTGAAGGCACACTCTTTGATATATGAGTTACACCATGACTCTTCCATTGGAAGCAAATTGTCATTTGCAGGGTTTTGCAAACGTCCTATGTCAAATTCGGTTTGATTGCAAACTTGGAACTCGGGAATCATTTTTGCGCTCATGATGTACATGAATGTGAGGTGTATGGATGAGATCGTAGTAATAGCCTTATTCCTCGTATAATAACAAGGATAATGAAAAGATGGGTGCGTGGATATTTCGACTACATGTCTTTGTCAAAATGACACGACAGTGTCAGTAGCAACATTCCTCGTCGAATAACCATAGAATGGGAAGACAGATGTTTTCATATTTTCAAACGAATACCAGCAGAAATATCAATTCATCTATCTCTCCATTGTTGGTTTATTCTACGAGAAATAAGGATATTAATGCCGTCTCGTTTATAAGCATAATATTACTCGCAAATTCGCTTAACACTTACGTAGAAAGTGTGAGGAAAATTAACTACCTCACGCTTTAGGAGTAGCGAAGCGAAAGCGCACCATAGGCCATTTACTCTACCTCACGTTATTTGAGAATTTCGGTGGACTTCCTTGGACTTCCTTGAAGTTTATGGCAAAAAGGAAACGGATTCAACGAAGGAGAGCCAGCTACGTCACTGAAAAGAATGAAAGCCAAGATGCACAAGATGACATGGATGGATATGGAGCAGCTAGTGCGGCTTACAGAAACGCTGAAAATCACGAGGCGAGAATGACAATATATATATATATATATATATATATATATATATATATATATATATAGTGTGTGTGTGTGTGTGTGTGTGTGTGTGTGTGTGTGTGTGTGTGTGTGTGTGTGTGTGTGTGTGTGTGTGTGTGTGTGTGTGTGTGTGTGTGTGTGTGTGTGTGTGTGTGTGTGTGTGTGTGTGTGTGTGTGTGTGTGTGTGTGTGTGTGTGTGTGTGTGTGTGTGTGTGTGTGTGTGTGTGTTTTCTACAGAAGCGAAAAGGGAGGGCGCGAGCTGGAAATCAAAGCAGAGCAACGCCCAGGGATAAAACAACACTTTTGATGTTTCCGCGTGCTTAGCTCTGGTCGCCATACTGAGGACCAGGAGAGTGAGTCGTATGTATCCCACGATGAACCTGTCCGCGAGGTAAGTCGCAGAGAAAGCAAGAAAACGTGAACTGCGCACAATTTCATCAAACATCGCTTGAAGGTGATTATTTGTTGCGTATAGCAATGGGTTATGTCTGTGGCGGATCCTAGATTACGTCAAGGGGTTGAGAACGCAAAAATGTGGCCCCCAGGAGATTTGGTCCACTCCAAGAACGCGGATTTCAGCCATTACAAACTAAAATTCTTATGTTTTTTGTTTTGTTTACGGGAACCGCCTTTCTGTGTGCGACCCTACAAAACTAGGCGAGGTGCGTATTTGCACGCATAGAAAACTTTCATTTTCTCCAGATCATGGCAGATCACGCCACTTTGTTGCTAACTCTTTCGGAGAAAATATGGCAAAATGAGTTTAAAGTTGCTGCTAAATACCATCAAAATCAAGCGCGACACTTAATTCCATTGCTGGTTGTGCACAGCCGGCTTCCGGCGGCTAGTTGCCATATGGATGATGACGTTGCCCATTGGCTCTATTTTGTAACCAAGACCATATGACCAGGAGCGGTACTTTAACAGAAACAACAGTCCCGACAAGAGTGTGGGGTCTTCCGCAAATGAGAGCGGACGGAAATAGCCCTGAACCAATGCAGAAGTCCCCTGATCATCTAGTGCCTCGGTAGGCTGACCGATTTGGTGGATGCTGCGATCAGCTGTTTACTAATTATTAATGTAAACTTTTGTTTCTACTTCGATGAAATAGTGCAAAATATGCTAGCACTCAAAATGCATTAAAGGGAAAGCTTCACATTTCAAGATATTGAAGCAAGAAGCAGATATGATAAAACAAGTTCACTTAACATTGGTAGGTTTTTTAAGTGGAGAAGACTGCTCTAGACACCGCAATTCTCTGTGTAGTAAATATGCTCCTCAAGGCGTCGTGGTTTGATTATATCATCGTGCCCGCACAACATTGATTCAGGGCCAATTCATGGCCGTTACATGTGGAAATCGCGCTCACAAACGACGGATAGGAACGCTTCGACATATTTCTTTTTCATTTGATCACCGCATGGTTTATGGGATAGCAGGATTTGAATGACGTTATTATGACGTCATGAATGCCTAGGTGACTTTTAAATACTCCCCAGCCATACCTTTCTCCATTTTCTCGGGCGTGTAGCTCAGAAACAGGGGCTTAGGTCTAAGAAGAAGTACTGTGAACAGCACCAAAAGGTCTTCAAGATGATTATTTCAGTTCAAAACTGCACATAAATGTGGAACACTCCCTTTAAACATGTGATGCACAATTCTACTGAGTGCCAGCTATGTAACAGCAAAGGTAACTGAAGTAAGCTATGTTGGCGGGGCGAAAAATTAACTTGGCAGCTTTGCGTAAAATTAATGAGAAAAAATGTGGCTGCTGCTATCTGCCGCTGAGGCTCCGAGGGAAATCGTCGTTGCGTAGGTCTCGGACTTGTGTACATTAATCGGGCCTGTTGGGCTCGTACACACCAACAGGCGGGGCACCATGCGTGCTAGAGGTGCTGGCGCTCACAAGTATGAGCCTTCGGCGACAGAGTACAATCCTTCTGACCTCATGGGAAGACCCCAAGAGTAATGTGCAGGGCCCTGGAGCGGTCAAGAGTGTCCCAGCCGATGTACATGCAGGGTCCCGTCAAGAGCGCAAGTCCTCCGATATCAAGGGGAAACCCAAGACCAATACCGACGGCGCCTAAGCGATCGAGGTCGCCGCTGTAAGTCAACAAAAAATTATCCCGTCAACATTAAAGGGTTCCCCAAGAAAACCAGAATCATCTAAGACCCACTTCTTGAAGGTAATATCAATTTGGTAAGAACCTGAACGATCGGGGGTACCCCGACAGGTTAACATATAGGACCCCGGCCAGAGTGCAAGGCCTCCGAACAAGCGGGTAAGCCTAAGGCCAATGAGAAAGGCCCCTTAACGATCGAGAGCGCCTTGGCAGATACAGATGTACAGAAGATGACACCTACACAACATCTACATAGGACTCCCCACAACAGCGCAGGGTCGTCCAAACAGATACAAAATGTCTACGGCCAATGTGGGCGTCCTCTGCGCGACCAGGAGCGGTACTTTAACAGAAACAACAGTCCCGACAAGAGTGTGGGGTCTTCCGCAAATGAGAGCGGACGGAAATAGCCCTGAACCAATGCAGAAGTCCCCTGATCATCTAGTGCCTCGGTAGGCTGACCGATTTGGTTCCAACAACAGCGCACGGCCCTCCGAGCGAGTAGGAAGAACCGGAGACTTCTGTGAAGGGCCCCTGACCAACCGAGAACATCCGGCAGGTTAACTTATGGGCCTCTCGGTAATATCGTAGAGCCTCAATGTGAAGAGCCCCTGAGCAACCAGGAGTACCCGGCAGGTTAACATGTGGGCTCCTCGATGATAGCG